CTATTTTGTGTTTTTATCTAGTAAATTCTGTAAAACAATAGATAATCTATTTTCTGAATAAATTATTAAATTATTATTTCTAATAAATATTATTGGTGATATTGAATGGGAAGTGGAGTATATTCTAGTTATCAAGAAAGTATACTGATAGTTCAAATACAAAATATTATAACTAAACGTTGATAACAATCTTATCTAATATCTTATTTTCGATTTCAAAACTACTCTGCATTTCCTTTGTAATTTCTATTTGTGAAATCCCTTTCTGCCAAGACCTTTTATATACTTATTCAAATGGATTTGTTTCTACAAAAATAAAAAGGATAATTATAATTTTATAAATAATAATTAATATATAAATAAGAAAAATCAAAAAAACCTCTTTTATATATTAAAATAATAAAGAAATTATAATCTTATAAATAATAAAAAAACAATCGGATAAAAACTGAATTATTAAAACAATATAATAAAAAACATCTTTTTCTCTATCTTAATAATTTTAAAATAAATAAAAAAAAAAGCTTCTATAAATATTAATGGTTACAGTCAAACAAAACACAAAAACAAAAACTAAATAATTTAAATCAAAATATTAATTAAGTTTTTAGTTAATAATAATAATAAGAATATACAAAACAATTGTAAGTCAAAAGATAAGATAACTTTTAATTATAGTATATATAACAACAAAATCGAGTTTGTATTTAATTACTCGCAATTATTTATAAATTACTAAAAACTTTGTTTTTATTTGTATTATAATAAATTAATACTATTATTTCAACTTGTCTTCTTATATTACAATTTCGATTATACAACACTCTACATCCTTCCGATAAGAATAACAAAAAGTATTTTTTTCAAAATATGATTTCTCAATTTCTTTTATAAATCAAATTATTAAAAAAAGATTAATTTTATTAAAAATCAGTAAAGTTGTAATTTATCTTTATTATACTACTATATTCAATAATAGTTGCTCGATATTAGAAAAATATCTTGTAAGTTTCCCTAAAGAATAAATACTTATATTTATGCTTACTAATGAAATAAAGTAAGTAATAAGCTTAACCCAATAATTAACTAGAAACTTGATAGTATATATTATCCTTCTTATTAGAAATATAATTATATATATAGTTTATATAAATCTAATTATTCTTTTAAATATATTATTCCTACTATAATATTATCTTTTTTAATAATCTTTTACTTAAAAATCCCAGTTTATTAATATTAATAAAGCTAATATTTCTATAACAAAATATATCAAATTTATAACTAAATTGACTTTAATATAAGGCTTTTATAATCTCCTTTTTAATAATCTTGTACTCATTATTTTCGATATTATTAAAGTAATATATTGCTATAGCTAATTTATTAATAAATTTCTTTTTGTAATTGTTAATACAATTAATTAAAGAATTATATTCTTTTTTCGAATTCTATTAGAAAATATAATAAAACAAGTATATCCAATAAACAAATCAAAGATCGATTTTACCTTCAAGATTATTATCCTCAATAATTATAATTGTATTTGTTAGATAAACCAATTATATATCAAAAATGAATAAATAAAAAATTGTAACGCTTTGCCTTAGAAGAACTGCGAGAGCAGGGTACAATTTGTCCTTAGAATCTATAACTACAGAATCGGAAGCAAAGCGCTCGTCGAGCGCACCTATATATCAACTATGTACACGTGATCGTACACGTGCGCGCATGCGCACGTGAGCGATCGCAACTGCGATTGGGTGCCGATCCGTGACAAAAATCTTATTTATATTTCTTATCAGAATCTAATTCATTATTTGCTTTATTAGAATTATAATCACTCCTACAATAAAACTCCTTTTCCTTAATAAGCCACTTGCTTTATATAATAAAAGAAATAGTCACTCTCTTCTCTATAAGCTAAATAGAAGAATAAATCAGTAAAACAAATATAAAAAAAACTATAAACAACTCATTATCATATATGTATTCTCCCACTACTAAATCTACACCAATAATAGTTTGCTCTTATTATCATATCTTCTTTTTGAAATTGAAGACATATTGATTAAAAGATATGAAAGGATTAATTAATTAAAAAAAGATTTAGAAGAAAAAGGAAATTCAATTAATCTATATACTTTAAAGAATTTGATTGATTGTTAGATTATAGAATAGTTTTTTCTGCTTTGTATATGCCTTTTTATTATAAAAAAGAAAAATCTATGTATATATTTATTTATTATATTATTATAATCAAATAATGATAATACTATCTTATAATCGCTGATTTAATAACTAAAAACAAATAATTATAAAGCTTAAGGGTAAGCTTTTTTAAAAAGAGGAATAGTATTACAGATTGACATCCAATTATAGTTATAATTATTTATATATATATACATATATGTATATAATTATATATATATAATTGATATATAGATATACTTAACAAATGCTTTACTTCCGATTCTGTAATTGTAGATTTTAAGGATAAATTATACCCTGCTCTCGCAATTCTTCTAAGGCAAAGCGTCACAATATTAATATATATATAAGCTCTTCTTATTCCATTTTATTATTTGATTTTATAATATTCAAATTATATCTAATACTCTAAATAAAGTCCTTATAAAACTTAATAATAGTTAGGGGGAGGTATTTGTTAATATCTTTAAAATTAGTTAAATATACAATTTATAATATAATAGATAATATACCCCAGATTTTACAATCTTTTAAAAGCTTCTTATAAAACTTAGATGGTATAATTCTCCCTTTATTTGTATACTCTTTTTGAGGGTATTAATATAATATAAAAGGTTTATTTGTAATATAGTAAGATTAGTTTTTATTCTTTCGGATATTATGATTATTCCAAATATCTGTATATCCATCTATTTCTTCTCTTATCTATTTGATATAAATTATAAGAATTACAATCCAATCCATACTAATCTTTATAAAATTATTTATTTTATACTAATTCATTGAAATAGTTCTAGATAATATTAGTAATTGATTGTATAATAAATAAAAAAACAAAAAAATTTAAAAAAAATTAAATTAAATATAGTAGATTAAGAAAATTTTTCAAGTATTCTTATAAAAAAGATAAGGAATAGGGATATATACTCGCTATTAATATAATAATAATATTTAGAGCTTTTGTTATTAGTTTTTAATATATTGATTTTTAGTATTCTTTTCAAACTAAAAGCAATCTTTAATCTCTTTTATACTCTTATTAATTTACAAGAGAATATAAAATAAACTTTAGTTATAAGAAGGAACTCTATCCCTTTATTTACTCTAAAAAACCTTAGTATAACATTACTCTTAAAATATTATATCAGATATTGATGTATAACTAATCCAGGATGTTTATTGGCTATTCCTATATATATTTATATAATAAATTGTGAATACGTATTAATATATGCATAGATCTCGATCCCAATAATAGTAAATTTATTATATTCATTAATAAACCAGAGAAAGTTTAGACCGGGGATTTGATACTTTTTATGAATGGATTGAAGTTTTTTAGTATATCGAAGGATTCTCTTAGGGTTTATAATTTATAGTATATCGAATAATATATTCCTAAAATAAGTATAGAATATTAATATAAAAATATTTTAAAATTTTGAATAAAAGAAATAATATTATATCTTGAAATAAGCCTTTCCTTTCTTTGAAAATAGGTGTATAATAATCTTCTACTATAGTTTTAAATATATTTCAATTCGATATTATTTCTTAAAATATTGAAAAATCATTAATCTCGTTTATATTGTTTTTTGAATGTAAGCTTTTTTTTAAGTTCTAGTAATAAATATATACTTTTAACATAATTTATAAAAATATCATGCCCTTCAGTTTTGAAAGTTATTTTCATTTTTTAATTATTAAATAATAAAGTGAAAAATATTACAATTTGACTCCTTATTATAAAGTTATTATAATCGATTCTAGGTTTTTGAATTAATCCCCAAATATTAAGATATTTATCTATAATTCTAATTACAACTTTAATATCAAATTTAGAGAAAAATAATTGTTTGATATTATTAATATTATACTTATTATTATATTATTTACAGATTGACTCCTTATATCAAATTAACACAAATTGAAATTAAATTATTATAATTATATAAATAAAATTAAATATAATAAATAAGAAAAAATAAAAGAAAATCCAAAGTTTATAAAGGAATAATATACTAGATTCAATAAAGTCTAAAGAAGAAAGGGACAGGGAATTATATAAATAATACGATAGCAGATGATATTGATTCTTATTTATATACATCTAAATACTAAATATGTTTTTAGCTTAGGCAGAATTCTATTTTTGGGGTTTATGCCAAATGATTCAAATCGGCCTCAGTAGAACACCCGCTGTAAGATGGCAATGGAAGAGCCGACTATTAAATGATAGATGAGATTTCGTTTAAGGTTATAGTGGCACTGGTTGAATATTGAAGAGCCACAGCCAGCCTTAGCAAATTTTGACTACCACGGGCTCATATTTGTATCGGATTTTTCACGTTTTGTATTGTTTGGTCTGAATAACAACATTTACTTGTGCTATCGATGTTGATGGATATCGGGAATTGGGAGTGACGATAAGTGCTTGTCCAAAGATCGTTAAAGCAGCCTTATCTACCCCAAACTTCTTTATTGGTGATGGTTGGGGTTTCCGACCTCCGCGAGCATAGCCACAGTATCATTGGAATCCTCATCAGCATACCACTGATTGTAATCTTCCAGTGATCGCGTTTCGGGTCATCGCAAACATCTCATCATCGAACCTCCAAACGATGAACCGTTTATTGGAAAGATGGGGATGTATCGCTTGTCAATTTGATCGCATTGGACTTTCCTCCTCCACCACTCCAAAGATTTAAGTTGTTGACAACAATGTTTTCATGTCAAACACGGAGCTTTACAATTAATTCCAAAGGCTCAATCAGTCAATTGCAGACAATATGGATTCTCTACCTGCATATCATGAGCTGAACAAAGACGTTGCAACTCTCGTCGCTCCGTATCTCAACACTTCCGATCTCTACTTTGGCTGTCTCGTCAATTCTCACTTCAATGCGAAATTTGGCAATTATCTTTGGGCCAACCCATTTCGAGACCTAGCCCAAAGAAAAGAACCTTGTGGTGAGGGTTCAGTTTGATCAGTTTCACAGACTTGTCCACTAACTAGATCCAGGAGTTGTTACCAGATTCTTCTATGCCTCTACAAGACATGATCTCAAGACGCTCAAGAGAGTTCGAATTCTTGACCTGCGTGCACTACACGAGATCAGACGTGATAGAGCTCAAACAAAAGATTGCGTCGTATTCGGGCCCAATCTGAAGCCTGAATGGTTCTTTAAATTCTTCAAGAATTTTCCAGATCTCAATTGCGTCCTTCTCGCACCAACATGCTCCGAAGACTACGGCGTAGCTACTGTCCCTGGCAAGCCAGATGATTATGATGGGGCGCCGCAGCTAGAATTCTTGAGCGCGGCGGGTTGCAATACGTTCAACTACTCCCTGATTCTTAATCATAATATAACCAAGAACCTGATATATCTCGACGCATCTGAGACTGCTCGTAGTACAAACTGGAGAGCCATGTTCACCATACAGAACCTTCCAAAACTTAGGATTTTGAAGCTGCGAGGCCTAAGATTAACAGATACCATGTTACCTCCCATTGTAAACAACTCTAGAGGGCAGATTTGGTCTTTAGACCTTCGTGATAATCTCTTGACTGACAATGTAATCTATCCTCTGATACGAAGCTGCTTTCTGGGACGGTTGCCAAGTTACAAGCATGGTCCACTCCGTGCAACAGACGATGACCTATTCGAAGATCCTCCAATTTACAGTGAAATCAACGAAAGTAGCGACTCGTCTCCGACTACAATAACTACACTTCGCCCTGATAGTATTCATGACGTTGAAAGTTCTAGGCACGGGATAAATATTCTTGAGCGAAGAAATAATGCTGAAGATAACCTTTTATTGGCAACAGGCCTGACCCATCTCTACATATCAAACAACAAATTCACAGCTCATGCACCTAAAATCCTCCTCGCCAGCACAAATGTAAGCTTAATTGATTGACCATGTCCTTCGTGTCCATTGTCTATTTCGGTTCCTCGCGTCTAATACTCATTTTTATGCTTCAAGATATCTACACGTCTTTTTCATTTCCCCCTAAACCCTTTCGCTAATAGACAATACTAACACCCAACACCTGCAGTCTCTACAACTCCTAGACATCGGATCCACCCGCCCCAATCCACCCATCGGCGCCGGCTCCAGTATCGACACCCACACACAAGAACACAGCATCCCCTATCTCTCACGAACATGGCAGCCCCATCTGGAAATCCTCCGTATCCACCACTCCATCGTGACACACCAACTACCAACCACCAAACCTCACAACCAACACTCCCACTCCCACTCCGACAACCCCGCAACCACAACCACACCCCCCAACATCTCAACCCGCTACCAAACAACCCCCTCACCAGATCCCCACACCCCCTTCGACCCATCCAGCAATCCTCGTCTACACACTCTAACCCTCACCTCCCTTCCCCGCAGATCAAACCCAAGCAGCTCACTCTTCCCCGCCCTCCAACACTTCATCCACCGTCTCTCGTTACAGGAACTCACAATCCGCAACACCCAAAAAAATCTCGCCAGCAGACGCGCTCCACCCCTCTACCCGGGACTTCGCGAACTGATCCTCGAGTTTCTACCCGAGACGCGATCTGCGGATGGCGGCGGCGGTGGTGCTTCAATTACGGATGATCAGGACGCGGATGCGTATCATAAGGAATTGGCTCGTGATTTTTCTTTTTTAAGCCAGGAGGATGTTCGCGCGGTCACGGGGAAAGAGAAGGGGGGAAATGGGAATGAAGGAGTGCATCATGTTGATATTGTGGAGGAGCTGAGGAAGTGGAGAAAGAGTGAGGTTTTGCGCTGGGGTGGGAAGTTGACGATTAAGCTGTTTTAGATGAATGTGAGTTGGTTGTGGTTCGGACTTTTGCGGTGGGTTCAACTGGGTTGATTCGGTTGGTGTGGCAAAATCTCAATTTTTTATCCCAGAACTACATTTCCCAGTATTACCCAAACAAGATACTTTGAACACCAGGCCTCCAAGTTTCAATGAAAGTTTTCGATTTTGGATTTCAATTTTAAACCCCAGATATATACTCCATACCATGACTAACAATATACAACCATACATACAACTCCTCGCCAATTCAATGTCAATGCCAATTCCAGGACCACCCACCCCAATTACCATGCATTTATCCCAAACTGGATTCAACAAACTTCTCATTAAATCATCAAATTGATATCCAAATAACATCCCATCCCACTCTCCACAACCAAAATTGGAGGAGTTATTCACTGGTAATTCGTGACTGGGAAATTTACCCGCTTGACATTGGATATTGATCTTCGCCCCTGGTCCTGAAAAATGTGAACAGCTTCTTTTTGGCTGCAAGAATCCCCAGACAAGCCGCAGCAAATGCATCTCCCAGCCTCTCAAAAAAAAAACAGCGTAATTCTGGACGAGTTATCATCGCTTGTCGTACGTGTGACTTTTTTGACTGTAGCACCTCCCCTATCCCAGAACAATTTTCCACCCCTTGCTATCACAAATTTCCCGCCAATCCCCATCCTCATATATTCCTTTGTCTGCCCTACTCCAAACCTCTTGCACCACTTCCCAAGCTCGCAAAATATTTTGCATTCCCTGCCTCCTCTCTGTTCCCTTAAAAGCCTTCGTAGCTAATTCCCTATCCGTTTCCGATTCAGCCTCGCATGCAGCCACGAATAATGGCCATAATAACGCAGACATTGGTGCATCATCGCATAGCTCCGCAAGCCCGACAACATTGGCACAAGCGATTAGTGAAAGGTTTGTATGCTTTTGGACCAAAGGATGGGACCTGGGGTGAGATTGAATGGTACGATAGAGATATATGAACGCGGAGTGGCGATATGCTTCGGCATTATTAAGGATGGTTTGCATACGTGCTTCCTCGGGAGTAATATCATACTTCGAGGAAGGATCGTCTTCTTCGTTGTTCTCCCTGGGTGAGGAAGGTCCTTTAGCCACAAAACTTGGCTTCCAGTTCGTAAGAGCCATCTCTATAGCCTGAGATGTACTTTCTAATTCAGTTCGCAAAACACTTGCTTTACTCAATTGATTACCTTCAATTGCGGATTGAAGAGAAGACTTGTAAGATAGCAGGTGTGCAAGTCGATGAATGATTGGCCATAGTTCTGTCGAAAGACCAAGGAGTGTGTCAACCGAATCTAATGGTGAATTTTTGCTTGCCTCATTGGGTGAAAATGGTAAAGGAAATGGGCTTGCTGTAGGCTGCGAAGTAGTAGTTGGAGGTGTACCAAGAGAAAGAGCTGTAATGACATCGTAAAATCGAAAGGCCTATTTTGATTAGAAACAAGCCCATATGATAATCAGCGAAGAACATACCCGCTCGAGAAACAGGCTCGTCGGACTCGGTTCCTGATGTCTAGAATCCATAATCGTCATCGCTCCTTTCAGATGACCATGTACAATACTCGAATTTCCGCGTTGTACGAGCTAACACATGATTAATTTGCGCCATAATAATTAATCCGGGAGTAATATGACTTACCACTTCGTAGTAAACGAGTAACATTATTGCGCCTAAAATTTCTTCTCTATTTGCCTGATCGTTTTGTTGAATGAGCTTTGCCAATCCTTGTAAAGCGTTGTTGTGAAAATCCGAAGATTTCTCTTCATTTTCCACCCCCCTATATTCCATATGTGCACTACTCAATGCGAATATTGCATTCATCACTGGTGAACTGGCGTGAGACAATGGTAGAATAAGTTGGCGAAATGGATTGCCCGTATCTTCCTTGAACACAATGAGATGAGACAGAGTATTGCAGAAATGGTCGACGAGAGCCCTGCGGTTTCTTCTCTCTGCAAATTCTAAAAACACTGGTGAACAAAATTCGAGAAGAGGAGATGCAACCGGGGAAGGAGCAATCATTGCTAAATCGGGATATTGACTTCGTGATCGAACCAGTGTGCTGCCAGAAGAAGCATTGTCATATGGATCCTCTCGTATTATTTCTTCCACTTCGTTGTCATTATCATAAAAGCTTCCCCAAGTAAAGCCCGACTGCTCAGAAGTTGCAGATAGTGGATATTCCGTCGTTTCCTCCCAACTGTTTGGCACATCTTCTGCGCTTTTGTCTGTAATTATGCTAAGCCCTTGCGAATATTGTCGCGGCCATCGTTCGCGATCGGAGCCTGGGGAGCCATATTCGAGCGAGAGGGCAGATTCCGCATAGGACGCCCTTCTTCGTTTTCGTGGCTTTACTGCTTCATATTCGCATTGCAGACCTCGTTCTGTACACCTATTGCATTGCGGGCGTTCTTCGTTACACTTCTTTTTCTGTGGTTGTTGTCAAAGACTTGCATGGGTTGATTGAGGGTCAGATTCCGTACCTTTTCCTTACTATGTCACAATTAGTCTTACAACGCAAGTCAATCACATCAACTACAAAATGAGGCAACTCACCAATGTATACATCCTTTTATACCAATCCATATTAGCCATGATCATCCGAAAGAGTGAATGGACACTTACCAGCTCTCGACCTTTTCTTAGGAACTTTCGGGGGTGCCTTTTTGGTATACAGAAGCATACTAGCGAGATGTGCAGAGCATAAGGTACAGATAAATATATACTTTTCGAATATTCCACCGAAAGCCCTCGTTCTATGTTGCAAAAACTGAGATCAAAAGGCCGAGCTGAAGGGATTGAGTAAAATAATCTCGAAATAATGTTGGAAGTCTTCTTGCGCGCGAATGGTTGCACTACATCTGACAGAAAGTTACCAAAAAAGATTTCCAGTGCTGCAGGTGACAGACAGGCCACTGACATAGCTGGGGAGGATCAGCGAGTGGGAAACAGCGTGCGGGGTAAAGGCCCTTGCTGGTACCTCTTGGATCCTTGCGATGCTTCGTCGGGACCTCTTCCTCTTCCTTCAAGAAGCATCGGGCCAAATTCCCTAAAGAGGCATCGGGATTTGATGAGGGTTGGATACGAGATTCAAAGTTTTGAAGTGGAGATTCGATCACGGCCGGCTCGTTGGTATTTGTATGAATTGGGTGATCAGACGATAGAATTTCATTTGTATCATGCACATGCCATACAGATATCCTGGTTAATGCATCGGTCTCGGAGAAACTTTTGGTGATTCACCAAATGCCTAGGTAGACATGATTGGTATGATGGCTTGGGTTTTCAGCTGGTAGTCAGTTGCCATTGGTCCTTCTCCCTATTGTACGAAGTATACAGTACATAATACTCGGGACTCATTCATTCACAGGGGGTTTTGCAATTGAACGGCGGTGACGCTGGTCACAGATACCTAATATCCTCGGTTATCACATTCGGTGGGTGCTCGAGCTCTGTTACTCTCTGTGATTGATTCAATCATATGCGGTTTTAGGTTGCGGGAAGGTCTCTGAGAGTATGGAGAATCAGGGGCACCATTTCAACGCTCCAAGTCTCATCCATCTTCTATGAGCTGGCTACTGGGTGTAACCTAAGCAAGTCTCGAAGAGTCGAGCCCAACAATCCAAGATCTTCATATGAGTTTATCCCATCTGCTCCATATCTATTTATCCACTGTCGGCCACCTTGCAAGTACCTGAAAGCGAGGTTGCACAACAGAGAACACGATACTGATAGGTTCACAATTGGATATACCCCGGTTTGGGGTAGGACAACAGATCCCCCGCGTTTTTTGATATGGCGAGTCCGGAGCAAAGGGATCGCATCGGGATGATCGTGTTATCAGAAAAGTCAAAGATGATAGATAGCACGGCCCGGGACTGTTGTACCGACACTCTAATATATGTGTTTGCTTCCATTTGTTGGATCTCTGTTTTGTGTGAAAGCCGATGAAATTGCATCTACATAGGAAGTGATTGATTAGTCGAACAAGTGGCGAGTAACATCGCATATCACGACTTGGGAAAACAGTTTCCTTGTACTCGTAGTGCATAGATAGATAAGTATACCCACTATCCAGATATTGTAGACTGCACAGGCGTATCACATGGTCGGCGTAGCATGAGCCATAAATTGACTGTGAATCGATTGAGAATTTACTACTATTACTAATACTAATACTAATACTATTACTGTCATCAGGTAAGTGTACAATGTAATGAAGTCCCAAGAACGAGTGTGCTACCTAATGAATAACCTGAAGCTAGTCGAGTATTGCTACGTACCAGTTCGTAAATTGGAGTAATTTGGAAGATTTGTTATTGATCCATGGAAGGTTTCTGATCTAGAAGAATGCTCATCATTACATTTAGAAGATCGCCCGAACAAGAAGAAACTCGTAAGCTTGAAACAATGTTAAAATTAAATTCAAACGTTATTCCAAATTATCAGAGAAAATTCTAGATAATTCCAAATCAGTAGACATGCAACAAATGCAGACATGTCGTTTGATCACAGGATTGTCACGAGATAGCGATATTGACTGGTTAATCCCTATCATTCCGTTCAGCGTTTGGTGATGTGTACAATAATAATAAGTACTGAGCAGGCACATGCTGTACATTTCATCACAGTGGGACACTTTCAGAGCCCCTTCATCGTTCTCGTCTAATATACCTAGGTAGGTAATTGCAACAAGATTCTCCGCACCATTGTCTCCATTGCAATAATAACTGCGATCTCTACTTCCTGCCAGCCTCCCAGAGGGATCTTAGAGAAGCGATAGCCATTCGATTGTTGCCAAGATTGAATGAAAGCAAATACAAGGTCATTTTTTCCTGGTTATGTCACGACAATGATTGTACGACAGCTTAACATCGCCAGTGAAGTGAATTCAACTTGCGATAGAAAAAACACTGAGCGTTCGCTTTATTATTTATTATCTTTTGGCGTGAGTGTTAATTGAGCGGTTTGATATCAATTGTCGAATCTGCATCGCAACAGAGGCGGCTCGAATTGCAATCCTACCAGCCAGCCCACTTTCATATGTAAGATGATTCTCCGCGAGCGAAGGGAACACAACGACTGTTCTTTGGATACGATGGCGTGAACTCACTCTAAATTATAGAAGGACTTGAAGCTACCAGAAGGCTTAAGACAACTCATATAGTTAGAGTAAAGCACAATGACTGCAAAATCAGGTTGTAGTTGTGGATACGGGGCCCTACCTAGTATCTCTTCACTGTGGCTTGTACCTTGTGTGATGAGAAGAGAAGAGAAAACTTGGAACCATTGAAAGTTCAACCAACACCTGCAGGCATAAGAATTGGAGAGACAGCATCATAAATTCATAAATTCATGATCACGCTTCCATGGTCGGGATTCTTAAATGATGTCAAGCCGCCACACAAAGTGGCTGAAAAGAGGGGCAAATTAAAAATGCGGGGACAGCCTTTTTATTCCTGTCTCGCCCTGTAAAAGATTCTTGACTGCAGGCACCACGGCAACATCAAACAGATCATTTGCGGGTCCCTGCCAACTTTATCTCCCATTTACCCTTTCTAGCCATTCTTGCTGATTCGATTTGGACATCTGGGTGACATTTTGTGCATCCTCAAATAGTATACGAGTCCACCACGAGAAGTGGGATTCATCATAATTTGCTGGGAGCTCCCGATGTACCGGTAGATCTTATTCACCAGTTTCATCATCTCTCACGAGAAGGGAGGTAAAATGTCATGTTGGGGGTGACAGTTGGTAATGAGTAGAATGAGTAGGATGGGAATGCAGGATTTCCTAGGTACTTGCATCAATGCATACTAGGTAGGTAGGGAGTTCAACTGAAAGCTAACCTGATGTGGAGGGCTTCTTTGAGATCAGACCTTGATATCAGCAGCACAATTCACTCCACCACGATTTGGTCGTTTGTTGCGCCATCTTCCCGGTAACTTTTACATCATTCCACGCGTTTGCTAGCCAATCAGCCAGCATTTCAACCCGTTATGAGACAATGAGACCATGCTACAAGAGAATGTCAAGCTTTCGGTGGATAGCAAGTTGTGGAGGCTGACGACATCGTTCATATCGAAATCTACCCCTCAATTACCTTGATTTAGCTTGTCAAATACTTGTCAAAGACGCTTTGGGACCAAGTACAATGATACAAATACTTCGCTGTTGCCGCATTACTTTTGACTTTCCTCCCATATACAATTTACTTCTTGCTTAAGATACCCCTTAGTTTACATACAAACTTAATCATCGCACTTTTACGGACATCAACAACCAATTGAATACATACATACCACATACTACAATCAACAATCTTCTAAATCACAATCATGGACAAGCTCAAGGCACTCCTGTAAGATATTTCAATCTACCACTACCAATCTGACAAATGCTAACCTTTGAATAGCCACGGCACCACTCCGGAACACGAGAAGGAAGTCAAGGAAGAAAAGAAGGCCGAGAAAATTGAGCAAAAGGAGGAGAAGAAGGCTGAAAAGCATGGAGCTGCTCACTCGAACGCTGGTGAAGGAAGCCATCTCGCAAAGGGTCCCCACTCTGAAACCCACCCACCCGCAGTCACCGATGCCAGCCATGCAACCCATACCACCCACGCGAATCCTACATCGGCAGGTCTAAGCCATACATCAGGAGGACTTGCCCAAGACAACGTTCCTCACAGACCTAGAGACTCTGAATTTGGTTCAACTGCCACTGGACCAAACACACATGCTCATGGCATCGATTCCGCAACTCGCACAAATGAAGCCGGGCTTACAGGACACAACACTAGAGACCCTCTCTCATCACACACTGCTGGTGTTCCATCAAACACTACTTCTGGCTTGGGTGGTGTCACTAGCATTCCTTCAGGAAACGGTTTAGATACTCATGGTAGAGATAACATCGGCAGTCACGGAAATTCCCACCTTGGCAGAGATGCAGCCATTGGAAGTGGAGCAGTTGGTGCTGCAGGGTTAGCTGAACATGAACACCGAAAGCATGAAAATACCAGTCTTGGATCTCATCCAACTCATGGACATGCTGAGGGCTCTCACGGAATACATAACTCGGCTGCATTAAATGCCGCTGACCCAAGAGTCGATTCAGATTTGGATGGAAATCGTCTTCCAAACAAGACTTCATCTGGTTACGGCACTCAAGATGCTTACGGTACAACCACAACTGGCTCCTCAGGACATCACTTAGGTCGTGATGCTGCCGCAATTGGCACCGCAGGAGCTGTTGGAGAGGGCATTCATCATCATAACAACCAACACAGCCAAGGTGGTCTTCGAGGAACTACTGGACCTCATACCACGGCGACTGCAAATCTTCTGGATCCTCATTTGAGTGGTTCCGGAGTTCGTACTGAAGATGCTCACACTCATCACGGACATGGCTCCAAATCAGGCCTAGTTGAAGGTGGTGGCGCTGAAGAGGCCGACGGTGTTCATGGTAGTAAGGGCACTTCTGCTGCTGCTGGCGTAATTCCAGTTGGAGCATATGAAGCTGGCCATGGACATAACACCACTGCCGGACCACACACGTCCAACTTAGCCAATAAAGCAGACCCACGAGTGGATAGCGATCTCTCAAAGCAACAGAACCACCATTATGGACGTGATGCTGCTGTAGCTGGAGCTGTTGGTGGAGCTGCATACGAAGCCAACAAGCATCATCATAACTCCGCTAACACTACCGCTGGTCCCCACTCTTCAAACATTGAGAATAAGGTTGATCCAAGAGTTGATAGTGATCGCTCAAGAGAGCAACATCACTATGGACGAGATGCTGCTCTTGCTGGTGGAGCCGGTACTGCCGCATATGAGGCTGATAAACATCACCACAACACAGCACACACTACAGCTGGCCCCCATTCCTCAAATCTTGAGAACAAGGTTGATCCAAGGGTCGATAGTGATCGCTCCAAGGAAGGTCATCACTACGGTAGAGATGCCGCCCTTGCAGGAGGCGCTGCGGGAACAGCTTACGAAGCCAATAAACATCACAACACTCACGGTCTTGACCAAAAGCCTGTCGGTAAAGATCTTGGGGATAAACTCCACGGCGCTGAGAGAAACCGTGGTGTCAACGGACCTACCGGATTCCCTCATGAGAGCGGACATTCGGTATCAGCTGGTCCGGTAGGATCTGGTGTTCCAGGAGCTCCTCGTGGAAATGTCCAAGTCTCTGACAACACCCACGGCCATAATCCAAACATCGAGCCCCCAGTTCATAACTCCACTGGACCTGATCATATCTTCACTGCTCCAGTCATGGATGATCCCGCGGCCAATGCTGCTCTTCGAGAGGGAAAGATTGACCAACATGAACATCGCCCTGGAGATGAAGGAGTTAGAGGCGTTGGACGTGATCACGGTGAAGATCACAGCTTCTCTACCGGTGGCGGACATGAGCACAGCAAAAGCAGAGGATTAGAGAATGAAGCTCACTCTTCCCCATTGGGCAACACTTCTTCAGGCTCTGGGTTGAAGCACGATAATCTAGCTGGTCATAATACCACTTCTACTGGTACCACAGGTTTGAGCCACGGCTCTGGGCTCACTGGTCACAACACTACTTCTACTGGTACCACAGGTTTGAGCCACGGCTCTGGGCTCACTAGTCACAACACTACTTCTACTGGCGCTACAGGCTTGAGCCATGGCTCCGGTCTTCACGGTTCCGGCTTGACTGGTTACAGCACCGGTTCTTCGGGTAACAACGTTACTGGTTTGAAGCATGACGTTGGTTTGCCTGGAAACAACAATACTTCCACTGGTACTACAGGCTTAAGCCATGGTTCAGGTCTCACTGGACATAACACAACCTCCTCTGGTCTCAACCATGATTCTGGCTTGACCGGATCAACTGGTACCCATGGCCTCTCGGGCGAAAACAGATTGGGAGAGACTTCTGAGTTTGGAAACACCACCAACAATCGAGTTTTGTAAATGGAATCGACAGGCAGGCGAACGGTCGATTGAATGATATTATTCATGTGATTTATGATTATTATGATGATTTAATGGTTTCTTACATTGTCTTATGCGGGCTTAAGGCTTTCATGTATATTAGTTAGGTTTATTTATTTATGGAAGGGAATCGAATGAATATGATGATATTTACAAAATCATGAATTTGCAAAATGAAACGTGATAAATCGAAAGTGTTCATCGGAAGTTGGTAGGTAACTTTGCATGAAAAGATTTAAACTAGAGCAGGCGAATTCCTATCTAGAATCAAGAAAGAAGTCCAAGTATCTTTCATTCTTGATAGCTTCAGGCTAGAAGTTTGGCTAGTTTCCTTTATGGAACGAAATTTTTATACTAGTCAATGATATCTAATAATGACGTCGTTTCTCTGTAAACTTCAATGTTTTTCCTCTACCCCTTCTCTTGGATCTAGAACTTTGGAAACTTCATAAGTGTGAGATCTTACCTCCCTAGTATATGCATCTGACGATCACTTTGGCGCTAATATGGAATTGATCTTCTTCACATATTAACCTCATCGTCTCCAAATTCTCTTCTCCATTATTTCCTTTCATGTATACACAGAGGATCTACCTATTTTCATTGTTAATCTTATATATTTCCCGTCTAGAAATTTAGTATACTGCAACTTTCATTCCGCCACTTACAGAGTTAGGTAGACACGCAAAGTTAAGCATGTATAATCTGTTACCTCGTACAGGGAAAGATAATGTGTATCATAATTCGTGCTATTTGATCTCGTCGCCATATCTGTATATACTTTTGATCTTGGGTCTGTGTATTCCGTTTCGATGGCCGGTTTATTGGTTACTTTCTGGGGCGCCGGTGTTGGAGGCGATTTTGCTTGCGGGGGGTGAGAGGGAGAGGGAGAGGGAGGGAGAGGTTGGTGATCGGAGAGAGAAGGGGGAGTTTGATAGGAGTAGGAGTGCGAGGATTCTGCGGCATTTTCCTTTGTGGCCGCTGGCTACGACGCTGGATTTGATTTACTGTGTTTGTAGGACGAGTTGGCTTTTCTACTATCTGTTTGCGGGGGTGTGTTGGGGGTGTGTGCCTCTTGTGTGTCTGTTCCAATTTCCGGGGGCGGGAAAGATGTTGCGGAGACAGTTGAGGAGGGTGTTGTTGGTGAAACGGTTTGGGTTGCAGTTCATTGAGGATCGGATTGGGGTTTTTGATATTCCGGGGTTGGAGATTGATACCGAGATGGATGGGTTGATGGTGGTGCGGGGGATGACGTTGAGGTTGAGTGCGATGAGTTTGGTGGTTCATGGGGTGGAGGTGGGGTTGAAGATGGTGGTGGGGGAGGGGGAGGAGGAGGAGGAAATCGAAATCGGGATTGCGTGTGAGGAGGTGGTGGTGAGGTTGGGGAGGGGCATTGAAGTAGGAGATTGTTTCGTGAGTGTGAAGGGTGGGGAGGGAGAGTTGAGTTTCAAAGATGCGGAAAATGGGACTGCACGGAAGGGCGATGATGAGAAAGGAGAGAATGAGATTTGGGAGGTGGATTCGAAAATGTTGAGAGCTGTTAAGGGGAACGAGGTGGAATTTGATAACGGGATTGGGAACGTCAACGTCAACCAAAATGAGGCTGGAATGGTAAAAACCGATATGATCGACGGACATGCACCAGTAGATACAGATGTGAAAGAGGGCATCAAAATCATCAGAACCATCACTCCAGACGACACCGAAGCAGCCAACGAACAATACAACAAGACCATCGAGATGATCCGCTCCACAAACAGCATTGAAATCTGCCGTCAAGAAGTCCAGCACCTCGTGCAATCCAAAGCCGAAAGAACCCCCCAAAGCACCGCCAGCCACGAAACCGTCAACCAAAACAGCAACAATGAGATCCGCGCCGCAATTTGTTCTCAACTCCACCGCCAACCATCCATCACGCACCCTCCATCCCGCTCCATCAAAGTCACCACACTCCAAACCTTAGCACCACCCCACATCCGCGCCATTCTGCACCGCCTCCCCATGCTCCTTCGTCTGCTCCTCCACCCGCTCGCGCACTTTCACCCCGTGAAAATCTCCTCCCTCACAGCCACCGGATCCGGAAAATGGATCCAAGAGATCCTCTCCACAAAACTCTTCAAAAACACCACAATTTACACACCCCCCTCCTCCCCCACCTCCCCCATCTTCTCATCCGCATCCTTCGCGTCTCGCAGACCATCCGATCCCACCGCCGCCGACGACGACTCCGCCATTCCCAAAATCCAACAACGCATCAACGAGTGGCTCTTACCCGCCAATTTCGTGCTCCAGCTGGGTTCCATTACTGGTCTTGCACAGGTCCCCTTCCTTTCCACATACGATATCCACTGTTCGCTATCCAGCAGCAACATACAAGTCTACCGCACTCTCCCCTCCACCATTGCATTAAAACAAGTTGTGCGCCTCGGGGGCGCAGACGCCACATTTGCGATTCCGAGTTTTCTGCTGCCGCATCATGAACATATATTACCCGCTCGAGCTGCTTCGTTCGAGAGAAGAAGGGAAGAAAACGGAGATGGGAAAGTAGACCAATCTACCGAAGAAAAAAGAGATGATGGATCAAAAGAAGATGAATGCGTAGTTCGCATAGCAGCACATGCACAATTACCCATAGTAATGGATCAGGAGCTATTAGATTGGCTGGCGAGTGTTGTGAAGGCGAGTAAGGTAGTAGAAGTGGAGAGGGAGAAACGATGGATGGATGAGGAGATCCACGGATTTCGGGATTTGGTGGGGGTGGTGAAGGGAGGGGTGAAGGATGTATGTATTTCCATTTTCGATTCTTGTTTCTCTCACCCCCTTCTCTTAAATACCTAGGTACTTTATTTTGGACCAGCTTCCCACATTCCACTTCCTTGCCCCTTTTTCTTCTTCTCGGTGACTAATTGAATCTCGTGATGAACCATAAGGCTCATAAGGGAATGAAGAAAACGCTTGTCAGCGCCACGGTTAACGATAAATGGATCGCCAAAATGGTAGGGAAGGTGACGAAGAAATTGGAAGAGGCGAAGGGGGATATTGGATATGCGGGAGATATCAAGGTACCGCTGGGACCTTATAGATTAGGAGAGGAAGCGAGAGAGAGAGGAGAAGGAGATAAGATATTGCCTTGAGGAATGGAGGGAAAGGGTGAGGTGTAAGATTATTCTAGTGAAAATGTAATATAATTTGTATAGAATGCCTTCAGCTTGGTATACTGGGCAATGAAAAAATTTGCAAGGGCTAAATATATGCCCAACATCCATCTAAATTCTAAAATGATGGCAGCAGCTCCCTGAGCAAGCGACCATATATAAAACTGCGCAGATCGTTGCAAACAGACCTTAGGAATGTGGCCTAGACCCTCAAATTAAAAGTTCTCTTTGAACCATCCAAATCAACTTCAAATGACAAACTTTATAGAAACCATGATCTTACAAAGCTCCCTCAAATGCAATTTCCCATCACATCATACCACATCACAAACCTTCAGCCTCTCTCTCCTCTCCTACAGCGCTTGCACACCACTGCACCAATCCCGCAATCTCATTCGAAACCGTCGACAACCTAGGAATATCATGACCACCCCCATGATTCCAAACCTTTTTCTTTCCCGCACAGAAGCTCGCCAAATTCAGACCCGCCAACCGACGGGGATCTTTCTGCCCATAAATATGAACGGTAGGGATCTGTATCTTCCATCCCTCAGGAACTTGTAATCCATATGGATTCTCGATGTCTATGTTTTCCACATTCAGAATTGATGTTTTCTCCGCCTTTGTATTCCAATAATCATCTCCAGGCTTGGCCGTTTCGACCGAGTTCGCGGTTGCGAAGAGTTCTTTGACAGATTGTGTTTCCAAATCTCGTGTCAAGGATGGAATCTCAATACCCAGATCTTCGATGATAGGTAGTGGCATGCCTCCACAGATAAAAATGGCACAGCTGAACGGTAGAGGAATATGCGGTCGTGTAACCTGATGATCTAGCAAGAACCCCGCGACGAGCGCACATCCTTGCGAAAAGCACATTACACCATCGTAGGGACCATTCTTATCAATGTGTTCTTGGAGGTACGAGTAGGATTCGCGGATGGCGGAGGGATCTGAGGAGTGGTAATAGGCGTAATATGGAGGGTTGAAGAAGAGTGATACACCGGCTGCGGGGGGAGATGTGTAGGGACCATCGAGGAAATCGAATGTATATGAGGGGGGAAGAAGACGGCGGAATGTTGCTGGGAGGTATGCGTTAGAATATGGGTTTATATGGTGGGATTGTATTGTAGGATAGGAATTTGGGTGAAGATCCCTAGGGAGGAGAAGATATCATACCAGATTGAATAGAAAAGATCTCAGCACTTGTGCCTTTTCCATGTAAACATAAAAACCTCATATTGTCCAAAAGTTGGGATATTTCGCACACTCCAAATAGTTCAGATAGACGACACAAAGTAATATTGAATCTAGATATCCAAGATGCAAAAAAGGAAAAGGATACTGGTCTTGTCTTATATACAATTATCCATTATGGCAAAGCACACAAGACCATTGAATCGCAATAGAAGACCTCGGTGCTCGGTGCCCGATCATGTAGTCACTGTAACACCACATCCCACATACTGACTGTGCTTGATGTGCTGTGCCAGCCATACCTGACGTGCTGTAGCGTGTTATCAGTAGAGGGATTCCTGCCTTGGATTGTGTTGAAGAGTATGACGGATGCAATTACTTTTTTCCATTCATTTGGACGTCGTCTTCTTCCCAATGGAGAATTCCATTTGTGCGATATACACTTGAAGGACCTTTTCGGACGAGACAGTTGTATTCGAGCATGAAATATTTGGTGGTTAAGTGCTGTGCTCTCTCTGTAGAGCATCGATATCGATCAGATTCCGGAGTTTGTCAGTGAACCTTGATAGGATGGATCACCAGATGTCTGTGCTGAGCTTGAATCTTAGTGGTCGTCGCGTCGCAGCTCAAAACTAGTGGGGGTCAACAAAATCAACAAAATCAACAAAATCAACAAAACATACCTATGTACCTATGTACCTAGATCTAGACGACATCTTCACAAAACCCCTTTGCTTCGCGTCCCTCTAGAAAGCACGGCATGCCCGTATATTCTTCCACTGGAAAAGCCATACAGTATCTCCTGATGTCCGAGAACTGTGTGGTTGAAGATTACCACTTCGAGTGAAGGGCTATTTTTAGTGATTTGGTATGGGCATCGGAGTTGCGGAGTGTTGTGTTATGGCCAGCTCTTGTTTTTGTGTCTATGAATACCATCGTGGCTTATGAGAAGAGCTTCTACTGTGTGTTACTTCGCGATACCGTATGGATTCTTACTTGATGGGTGGATAGTTTCATTCTTCTATGGTGATATCACCGAGTAGTGCTTTCTCATGGAGCTTTTCATGACTTGGACATGTTTGTGTTGAATTTACATATATTAAACTACCTACCTACGAGTACATCATGGAAAGTTCCAATATCTACATACCTCCTAATACATGTTACCCTCAAACCTTCCGGGTATCCTCATCCTGTCTATCTTGAAAAGTATACACTTCAATGCCCCCTTATTCTCAACAAATAATATTACTACCGTGGCTTTCAATCAGATCGGAACCTCTATACTTGCTTCCACTGCTGCTGTAGATCCAAGGTGATACGCAAACTATGGAAGGTCGTAAACCATGAACCCTCGCTTGGATAAAGCATAAACTCCCCTCTAGTACACCGGTTCGAGACTTGGAGGAGAATCGAGTGTGCTCCATCTTTATAAGTCATCACTTGTTCTAGTTTCCACTAGCGAATGTCCATAGTTCCAATAATATCGCCCCTGCCAGTTCCGAACAAGCTTTCCGCTGGCAAGTAATGCTCGGCGCTCCGAGCTTGAAATTGGCACGCTCAGGACCAAATTTTGAATCGAATTTCTTTTGAATATTTCAAGTCCATCGCTCCACGAGCCACTTATGAGATAGATATATTGTATTCTCATTTCTACATCTGATGACTTTAGATTGTCGATGAATGTTTCTAGCTCTGATAGATGAAGCGGTACAAGGGACAAGTATATTGATCTGAGATTCGGCCATTTACGACTGGTGAGAATTGCTCCCAAAGAACGCACCGATGGATCCTGCTCCAAACCTCCCAGCCCCATAGCGTCGCGCGATAGATGGATGTCAATCTTTTCTAGAGCATTTGTGTTCACAATCGCAGAAAGATATTTAACCAGACCATCTGATTCCGTGGGCGTCCACTTACCACGTGCATCATCTTCGTCATATATGCAATGAAATTTTAACTGTTTTAGCCGCTGTGTCGCAGCTGAAAGTTCTTGGAAGTCCTCAAATGAGGCCAAAGTTCTGTGATCGTCGGGACGTTTTATCTCAATACAGATGTTTTCGAGAGATCTGCCAGCCTTGTGGATAGCACCTGGCAGCCTAAGAAATATCTGAGCGGATGGCGAGCTCCAGCTTGTATCGGCTCGGAGGTATGAAAGGTCATCATCCTCAATCCCAAAAACTTTGGATTTAATGATATCGTCGATAAGTAAATCCTCGTTTTCAGAATATTCAAACAGGTATTTTGATCTTGAATAAATTTTTGAATAAAGGATGTAGTCATAAAAGCCATCAACTCCCCTGTCGCAAATGCGAAGTGCTTTTGCCCTTGGCATTCGAGCGACCGCAGTGCCAACGCCCTCCAGAAATACATTCTCTTCTGATAGGAATTTTTGTTCTGCATGGAGATATTTATACCGCTCATAAGCTTTGCTCCAGAAGGTTTGACTCCAGCTTTTATCAGTGATACTGTCGCCCGATCCATATATACACCGCAGATATAACTCATCAATCATCCTGGACTCTTCTCCCTCGTCTACCGGAACTGGATGAAATTCCACCGTCTCTAGAGTTTCATTCAAGTACCCTAACTTATGGTGACGGAAATTCTCAAAGCTATCGATCGACATGCGGTCCAAGCAACGAGTAATGACAGTTACTCTTCTAACACTTTTGCCGATAGTAGGATGACGAGAGATCATATCAAGGCGCGCAAGGGATTGTGCATCCAATTCAACACGCACGGTAGGAAGAAGAAAGGATGAGGCGACATTGCAAAATCTTCGGCATACTAATCGTAGACTCTGGATCATTTTTACGCTGTCTCCAAGTTCCATATCCCGTTTGGCAAGCGATTCAAAGGTCATCCATGTCAACATTTGGCCCTGGACGGTAGAAGGAGGCTCTCCGAGCTGTGGCTCTGCAAGAAAGCCTACAATCAACTCCAGCAACTCATCTGAAAGTTTGAAAAGTCTTGGCTGTTGGACGATTCCCCGGCGCGATAATAAATTGTCAAAGTTTGCGATAGGAGTATCTACTGTGCTCACAATGCTTTCTCCTAGGTCATTTAAGGACGGGAAAGAATCATCCTCGGCGCCTGCCTGCGCTCCACCACCTTCTCCAAGATCCGAACTGGCATGGAATCCTGGTTCTCCTTCTGGCTCCGTTCCAAAATCGAATGAAGTATCTCGCAAGGACTTGGATAACTCCAGTTCCGGCTGGCTCTCTATTGAATTTTCCATCTCAAAATTAGAATTATCCAACTGGCGGTCGAGTAAATTGAGAGAACAAGTATCCGTCGTCGAACGAACGTCTTCGTTTCGAGACGTGTTTACAAACTTGTGAGATATTGACGAGCTGTCTCTTCGCAATGGTGTATTAAAAAGCTTTCAAGATAGCTACAGTGACAAGACAGGTACAGTGACCTGTAATTGATAATGTTCCTGGTAGGACTATCTATAAGGGAAGAAGCATATGTGAATTGGCTATGCGTTCCTCGATGTTGTCGATCAAATAGATAATAGATTACAAAAGTTATAATAAGTACAACGATATGGGAGTAATACACTGTATGCTCTTAAATCAAGAAGTGGGAAGGACAGATCGTTTTATATATGAAAATTTTTGAACAGGAAGCTAAGAATCGAGCTATACAAAATAGTCTCCTTTCAGCGCGAGGAAGCCATCACTACCCACTTTAACACGTGCTCCTCCTCCTAACCCTATTCTAACCCTTAGATCGTCACTCCCCAATTCTGCAATCTGGCTTGAACATGGTGGCTTCCTTGGGCGGATGCGACTTTGAACATTCGAATACGTCACCCAAAGATTTCCACTTGCCATCCGAAGTCTGTTTACCTCTTATCCCAACTCACTTTTTGTTCTAACTCCCTCCCCTATTTTTGGGATACCCACTCGATGCGCTAGCCGACGACATCTCTCTCCGGCTCACAAAGAGCAGTCCAATCTCAATGACTCCCTCAGTATGCAAAACGAATAGAATGACAGGACTGGAGGAAGTCAATGCACGATGGTTAGCAAATGACTCCTCACTGGACAATTCTTTCTAAACCAAATGGATTATTCGACACGACTTAATGAAATGCGTCACGCCAAAGAGCAAATGACTCTTTACTGAAAGTTCTTTGTGAACAAAACAATTTGATTTCCCCCAAGTAATCTTTTTTCCCCTCCTTCCATACCCTCTTGACAAACACTCAACATTTATAGAAAACTAACAACAGATATCCTCACACCCTTTCCAATACAACAGCTTTCCAAGCACAAGTACAAACTCGGTATTCATCATGTCGACATCCTCTAGCAAGACCTCAATAAACATAAACCTCAACCACCTCGAGGGTAACTGCCTACGTGACCCGAAACTCCAAGACCCCGCTGAAGCCATCATCACCGCTCGCTTCAACCACGGTTTCGACCCAGATTTACCCATCTTACCCCTATGCATGCACTCGAAAGACAGGGATGTGAACAAGACGCCAACGGAGCTCAGTAGAGATGACACCAACAAGGGTTCCAGCTTTCATTCCGAGGGGCGAGAATGGAATAAAGATGGGGAGGTTAGTTGGGCGGTACTCTCCGGCTGGTACCCAGCGTGCAAAAAAGAGTACGAGAAAGATTTTCACGAAGGTTATCCGCGCAAATTTTACATCACGGCTATGCTGCGTCGACACTGGATAATGGTAGGGGAAGAGAACAAAACGCCACGGGGAAGAGAGGAAGCAATGGAAGTAATCAGACAAGCCGGATCGAGATTTGACAGCGAATACTGCGATGAGGTTCAATACTGCGATGAGGTTCGAATTTATAATATTGCCCAAAACGAGAGTTTACACATGAACAAATTGGAGAGAGCGCTAGGCGAACACATAACGGCGAACAATGAGACCATGGTGAGAACACAGGGTAGACTTGGAGCATTTATATTGGAACAACAATCGAAGATCGATTCTGACCAAGCTTACGAGTCGGCCTACGCCTCGAGCAGAGATCCAGAAAACCGCCTTATGTACGGCCCAGCTAACTACCCGGCTTGCAACCCTCCTTCAACGCCAACCTCCGTATCCGCAGACAAATGCCCCTCAACGTACCCCGGAGAACGGCATTCACAACCTAGCAGTCTCCATGGAAGTCAAAGTTCTCACAAATCCGCGCACGGAGAGTCCGGAGAAGCTCGCAGCAGTAAGAGTGGAGAAGCTCACAATAAACCCATGCGTGCTCAAAGCGCATCCGAAATATCTCGTAGACACAGCAGTGAAAGAGCTCGTCCTCAAGTCGAACCTGACATCGAGAATTTCAGAGCACCTTGCACCAAGGGTAGTACACGATCTTTTAGTCCATCCAACTTTTAACCCCTATCAACCTATAAGATAGGCCCAGGTCTGCTACCCAGCATTTGGATCATAAGATAAGAGGGCGGGGGAACCTTGATTAATATTGGGATTTCGTGTTTTGTTTATGCCTGGCTTTTAACTTTCCTTATGTATACTTCTGTTTTGCGAGATGGGTCAAGCGGTGTGATGAATGCCTTTTACATCACGATGGACTGTGGAAACCCAAATTCATGTGTACACTTACCATACAATTTAAGCGTGATTTAAAGAAAGATTAAACCTGCCCTCATCTCCTTCCTACGTAGAGTTAGCATGAAGATAACAACATGAACGCCTTTGGCGGAACTTACAATAAGAAATGCGATCCTATTATCGCTGCCAACACCAGGCCCACAAACCCGGATTCCAAACTGATTCCATCGGAAGTTGTTACAGTTGAGGATGCGGAGCCTAAGCTCGAACTGCTTGTCGAAGTCCCAGTTGACGTTGACGTTGCGTTATCCATACTCATGCTAAAAACGGGTGTTGTAGGACAATTTGCATCGTATAATGATGGGTTTGCAGCATTTGTGCCAGTCTGGTTATTGTATGCCAACCTGATGAGCGTATCCTCTGCGGCGTCATACTTTGGCCATCCGTAGTTCGTCAAGCCATTTTCAGGATTCTTGGCAAACGCAGCCCATGCGCCACGCATGTATTTTCCGATTGCTATCTGTTCGGTTGTCTCGGGAGGATTGGCAAGGTTTGTATCAAAAAGAAGGGGGATTTCGGCGGCATGCCATGCACCAGCATTAGGAACAATCATTGTGTTGGGAAAGGAGCCAAAGTAGCGATAACGCCATGTGTTAACATTGGCTTGGGTTGAGTAATTTGCGCGGTAACCACTCGGGCAAGTGAACCCGAGTAAATCGATAAGTTCGGCAGCTGCATCTGAAGTGCTGACTCCTTGAAGCGCATTTGCGGTGACGAATAGAACGGCTTCCTCGTCATTGCTTCCAATTAAGAGGGGCTTACTTGTGAAGTTGCCGGCTAAGGAGCGTTCAGTGTAGTTGGAGAACACGACAATCTCATCGACGGTGGGCAAGAAGCTTCCCAATATACCAAGAGATCCAGGGGAATCGGTGGTGGCAGATATCCCGCTGAGAATTTCCGTTGTACTTTTGGTACGCATACAACTAGTAACGTTACTAGCGGATTCGCCTCCACATCCCAAAGCTTGGCTCACATTATACCAGGCTGTGGTGACATACTCAGCTGTGCTTGGCAGACCCCAACTCTGTGCTGTGCCAGACTCTTGAATGAGACCAGCAACAATGGGGTCTTGCACCCAAGCATAGTTGTAGAGATCGACCGATGCTGAACCAGCACTTTGTCCAAACAGAGTGATCCGGGATGCATCACCACCGAAATTCTCAATATTATCACGAACCCACTCAACGGCCAGCCTTTGATCTAGGAGTCCCACATTAGCAGGACTGTCGGGGCTACCCGAAAATCCAAAAATGTTCAGTCGGTAACTAGTTTTCAATCAGCATAATTCAAGAGTCTGAGAAGCTTGAGACTTTACTTGAAGGTTACCACAATTACATCCTCTTGTTCCACAATGTATTGTCCATTGTATGCTGGGGTGGCGGAAGCTCCACCACTGAACGCTCCTCCGTAAATCCACATTAATACGGCCTTCTTCGAATCACCACTTTGTGGTTTCGTCCACACGTTTAAGGTCAAGCAATCCTCGCTTTGTGAGGTCAAGTCTCCAAGTAGGTTCAGTATTCCCAACCCTGTTGAAGTAACATGTGACTGCGCGACGACGGTAGCATTATAAGTGGTAGTTTGGGCGGGACATGTATAGCCCTATCGTTGTATTAGCAACTGTCCAATGCCTCTAGGGAGTTTTTACTTACAAAGTTGGTACCATTGATAGTCGTAGTACCATTGTACGCAACTGGCGCAGCAAATCTCAAGTCCCCAACAGGTGGTTTGGCGAACGGAATACCTAGGTACTCGGAAACTTGCGAGTTATTTAGACTAGGATGTCCATTGACTGGTCCACTGCTTGTCTGAACAGTTTGTCCGACGGTCCAATTCGATTGACGGCTCTCCAAAAGAGCGGAGGCATTTGCAGATACTGCAATGGCAGAGATCGACAATATTGAAAGCTTCATATTGAAATAAAGAAGGAAACAAGGAAAGAGTGAGAGATGGTGATACAAACGGAGAGGGTGAGAGGAGAGAACAATAGACGGATCACAAGTCAGGAAAAGGAAAGGCCATCTTATAAGAAAATGCTTACGACAGTCAGGATGATGTTCACCTGCATTTAGAATTCGACTACTGTCTACCTTTTGGAGAGAAGTTAGAGGCTACTCAAACCTAGGCAAAGGAGCCGTCATGTTCAGCATCTACGAGTAATGGCGGTAGTATGGTACATCGTATACATCGTATACTTCGTGTTGCGGCTTCCAAGTTCCCATGAGTGCTCTTGCCGAGACCATCTATCATAGTGGCTGGGCGTGCAGTAGTCTTATCTGCATGACGGGTCTAAGTAAAATGATCGTTCTTTGTCAGATGGATCAAATGGATGGTATCGTATGTGATTGGATGGCATTGGATGAAGTGCTCCAACGCTAGTCACGTGTCACGCTTGCACATCAGACACCTTGGTTGACCTTACTTTTTTATATGTTTTAAAGTGCGTGCGGGCGTGTCAGAAACCTTGATTGCTTCTCGATGTCTTTTGTACTAAGTTTGCTGCCAATCTTTGTGTTACCCGCCCATTGATATCGAAGCATGCCGTCATGATTGTTAAAAATACTTATTTATTGAGTTTATGTCGATTTTACTTTGCACGAGTAGATGATAAATGCGGTCTCGTGTTTTACCCATCACCCGTGCGCCAAGAAAATCAAGTCCGTCCCAGTCTAACGACAACTATAATCCATTTTCCAGCGCTCGAGCGAACGCGCCTTCAAGTTGTTCTCTCGTTTGTTCTCGTCGCTCGCTTTTATCCCTCTTATATACGAGCTTTATCTGAGCACCGAGCTATTCGTGGGTTGACACTAAACCCCATCATCTACTAGCACACGGAAGGAAGGAGCCAGCCTCCGCTAACGAGATGTTAAATTCATCCTCGATTGCGGGGGTAGCTCTCCTTTCAAAGTTTCAATGATCGTTAATTGACATCTATAAGTTTTAATTGTTCTAAGATAACAATGTACCAAGCAATAGTCAACTGGCGCTCCGTACCGGTAGGTTGGTTATTGATGTTGATTAGGATCCTACATGTCATCTCGCAAAGTAAGTGCTTAATTGTCCAGAGACACGGGAATGATATAAAGAAGAACTTCTATATTGCAACAGACTGATTTTTCTTTACTCCTTATCACATGATACACAACAGAACGCTTCGATGAATTCCGGTCGCAAAAGAAAGAGAAAATGAAAAGAAAAAAGAGTTCATCATCCCGGGGTTTCCTTGATCAATATATAATGCATCATTTCGGCAACAAGTGAAGATCCAACCTCCCGTAACACAAGATCCGCGAAGCAACTTTATCCGAGATTTTTCTTCGCCGACAACTTCAAATCGGATGCTCGTTTTGAGCATTACTATGGACTCTTCTCACACCGCAAGTCACAGCCCCAATAGCCATCATCAAAGAATCGGGATTCACGCATTCACTTCCATTCGTGATCAAATTATCCACAGGAGAGTCATCTTGTAGATTCACAAACCTAGTCATTCTATTCTTCAGCTGATTGCAATGTTCACCCAAGAGCTCAATTCTCCTTCACCCGTACCTGTGCCGTATATTTGACATGTAGTAGCATCCTACAGAATCCACCACAATACCCAGCTGATATCTCAAACATTGGAAATCCATGCATTTCATCACCCTCGTACATACTGTTAAACTTCAATACTCCCCCTAGACTGATCACCATCCTTGTTGACTTATTTGACTGACTCCTAGATTCCCAGCTCTCAGCTTGTATTCCCCCATACATGTCCATCCCATTCATATCCCTCTCCCATCACCACAACCCCAATACCAACACCAACCCTCAAATCACCAACACACAACCAAGCCAACCAACTCATATAGATACAAATTTCAAACACCAGAATTCCAATCTAAACACCAGGTCTCCTCTGTCGCGAGTGAGATCCAATCCAAACATTCACATCACTTCTCTAAGACTGGTATCACACCATACTCCTATCCTCATATCTCGCGATGAATTGCGTAAAGTCAGATCAAGCATCCATTTATTTATCCTTGAGGACGGTAAACAAAACGAATGCAACACCACAACTATACCGGGTTTACTCTCACAGCATTGTACAAAAGAATCCGGCAGCCATCTTAATTTTGCCTTTGTTCTATACACCAACCCCGAACCCGGAATTATCAACCCTAAATTTCGAGAATCTCTTCTCTCCATATTCTTCCTATTCCCTCCACTCTCTGAATCACACCCCACCACACACTTTACTCACCCAGAAACCCTCTACTCAGATTTCTCCCCCTTTCCCCACTAACAGCATCCAATCTCACAGCCACCAACACACATTCCCACTCCGCCTTCCCACTGACCAAAGCCTGTCCTCCCACTCCCACTCCCATCCTCGCTCCTTGCACAGCACCCCCATGATTTTGAACCCTCAGCCTCCACTGTCCCGATTTCACAATCCAGCTTTCATCTTTCATTGCTCCTGAACTTACATCCATATTTACCGGAAGCGCAATCCCATCTCCTATTCTCCTCTTCTTGCTATTTCCTTGACCACCCACACTAGAATTCTCATCTGTAGCCCCATTCAAATCAACCACCTTCCCATCACACACCACCCCACAGTCTTCTCCAACAACCACTTTTACCATCTCCTCACTCAGCCCACTCTTGCCCGGACTAGCTGGCTCGCTGCTCGCGCCACCATTTTTCATCAATAATCCCAAGGGCTGCTTAACTGGCAAATTGAGTTTCGTAGCAACAACCTCCAACAATCTACCCATCCGTATTTTCGTTTCTCCGAAAAATTCCAAGCGCATAGTATCCCAGTGAAGCAATGTAGCCGAATCACCTATTTCGAGAACAAGCTCGGAGGGCGATGAATCGGCAAAGGGGCGTTGATAGTTTACGTATCCTACAGATGATGTTGGGGATGGGTTTGAAGAGGTGAGAGGTTCAGTAGAGGGAGCAGTAGATGGGGATATATTTGTTAGGATAGAGAGGCCAGATTGTCTGATATCCGCGAGTCGAATTGTAATTTCTGATTTTTTGCGTAGTAGATTATAAGAAATGGAATAAGGAATCAATTTTTGTTCGAGACCTTTAAGATGGAAATATCGACAATCCCGTAAGAGTTCAGCACGATGTTCTGGACTACGGATTTCAAGTGGGTAGCCACGGAGAAGATGAAGAATTTCGGAAAATGTCTTTGAAGAGCGGTTGGGTACTGATGGGGGGAGGATAGATGGTGGTCGAAGAAGACCTTCTCTACTTAGGCCAGGAAATATCTCAGTAGGGGAGCTGAAGAAGAAGAAACTGAAGCCCAGGGAGAAGTAGTTTGGACTGTTTCCGGGATCAGAAAATATCTCGCGAGGAAACTGGAATTCTCGATCTCCAACTGTTATGAAGATATTTTCTTCATAGAGTTGAGAAATCAACCTTGGTACTGTCTCATGTTAACTAAAATCGACAAGTAAGGGGAGGGAAAGACAAACATGAATAGAATTGAGCATCGGCAAATAATTTAACAAAATGACTCGCATCCCTTGGTGCGACATGGTATCCTTGCAAATGAAGTGATATATCTTTGAACGTGATGGGATCCCGATCGATATAAAGGGTCCTGATAGCTGTATTTGGATCTTCTCCTCTCTCTTCCGCTGACCTCAATTGACATTGAAAATATTGGGAAAAGTATGAGGGTGCTCTAGGTTTCTTAGCTGGTGTTCTCATTCTGAAATTTCTTGTCCATCCAGAATCTTATCCTCAGCAAGAAAGTGCGAAGAAGGAAGAATACATACCATCAGAACTCAAACTAGCACCACTCAACCGAAAAAGTTCCGTCCCGATTTGAATCGGGAAAACCTTTTCATGGGGCAAGTGATTCGGAATGTCTGGATTCAAGATTCTTGCCTCTGCATTCCTCAGTATTCCAGGAGGGTCTACCATTCTCGAGGCTCCTGATGGACCTGAAGCACCCGGCGGTGTGCCTCTCGCAAGATTCGCCTCTCCGACGCCATTGCTTTGCGCCATCGTGGCTCTCTGATCCATACTTTCAATCCAATTGTCCCAGCTCTTGCTCTACTAACCCTTCAGGCCTACAAATCCACAAAGTATGCCTGAACTGTGCTTCCACGCAGAGACAATTGTCCAAAAGTCACACGTGATCAGAGTGCCGGAAAATAGATTCCTTGGGCCAAGATAATCCGTGAATATAATTAGTAGATGCACGATTGCCGCGCAATTTCAATTGATGAAACGAGATTTATCTTTAAATTGCAAGAACAGAACCTCTCGGTTTAGAAAGCGATTATGTTCGGTGTGTTAATCCTGCCCAGTGGCTTGAGACAATGGAAATGAAGCTCAACTCGGAGATAAAGCTGATACGCTAGCCTGAACTAGAAAATACCCGATGACAGATCACATGACTCACACATGGCGTACGACTGTCTCATCAACTTTCAAGGTTTCACTACATTATGGAATGAGATCTAGGAGCATTTAAGGCGGCATTTCCGACGATCAATTTGTCAATTCTGGACGTCACGTCTCAATGTGCAAAGACTTCAAGGCTAAGTGTTTAAATAATTGCATAGAATTGCTTGAATTGCCCATTCCATTCATAAATTCTCCTCACCAGTCAGTCTATGGTTCTAATCTGACACGACCTTGTCCATCTAAAGAAAATGTGGAAGCTAATATAGCAAGCACATTCCTTAACAAACATATCATACAAATTCGTTATCATTTTGCCAATCCATGCATCAATTACAAGCAAAAATATTCGGGTATAGTATGTTTGACTCCCGACCCTGTAATAAAAAGAAATCTAGCCCCATCCAGTCAGTATTCTGTTACGTCGTCCTCTACCTCTACTCTTCTTCATCTTCGACATTCGGTCGACTACCACCTGTAGTTCCACTTCTCGCTCGGCTTGCTGGTGCGCTACCGACTAAAGTCCGACCAGGAGCAGCTTGTGATGTGTTGCTAGCAGTCGAGATGGAAGCTACACCGGCAGATTGTTGTCCTACTGAATATGATGGGTATAGTGATGTCGACGATGGTATACCAGCCCCATCGGGTCCAATTTGGCTTCTATTCGAAGCAACGGATGCGTTACGTCCGAGTTGACCAGATAAATTTACAGGGAATGGTGCATGTTTTTGATAACCACTTCCACTACCATATGAAGAATTGTACTCAGTAGAACCTGAAGCACCTTCATTCATGAAAGAATTTCCATAAGTTCCTGATCCTGAAGGCTCGTCTATTGTAACGCTAAAACCAGGAGATGACTGGAATGCATTCGGTGGTAGATGTTCTCCAGGCTTTCGTCTACCTCGGGTGCTTGCTCTCTTCATCAGAGATGTCCTTTGATTGCTATATTGGTGGTCGAAATTATTTTCTCCCAAGGTCGACATATCATCGTTGTCGTTGTAACTGTTACTATGTGCAAAGTCTAAACCAGGTCGTCTTGCATTCAAATGTTCCGCGGCCTCTTCCTCAGTATCTATTGGACCAAGATCTGGATTTGTATTTTTCAGAGATTTCGTGGGTATGAGGCGCTTTGAGTCTTTGGTGGTTGATGATTTATCCCGTGCTTCGGCGGCCCATTCATCTGTTACAGAGACAGAGTAGTTGGGGTTGGCAGGTCCACCGAGAGCATCTCCACCACCTCCAGGAGCGTTGATTGGAATCTTGCGCAAGGCCAAAACAAGAGCACACATGAATTTGGAGCGACGAGCAGCGCGAACTGTTTCGTTATGCCAATTAGATTTATGCCTGATTTCGACCTTGAGTTGAAGCTTATCCATGTTTCCAATGCCCACAGCCTCCAATACAATGTCGGATTGAAAGTCACGAGCATTGTCTGGATGACGAACAAAATTTTCCATTTCTGTGCGTAGTAGTTCAATATCCTCGAGAGTGGTATCAAAGGAAATGAACATGTCGAGTTGTTCTTTCATCGCCTTGCTACGAGTGATGTTCTCGACCCAAAGGTTGTTGAGGACAATGTTAGGTACCTGTACCATCTTCATGTTGTCGATGCGTTTAAAAATGGTGAAAAGTAAGGAGATTTGTTCCACAACAAGGTATTCGGAACTGATATCGACGCGATCACCGACATCGTATGGATGTTTGACGAAAAGGAAGATACAAGAACCAAGGAACTCCTGGGTAGTGGCAGCGAAAACGAAAGATAGAGACAAGAGAGTTGTACCGGCAGTTGTCAATGTGGCGAGGAAACCAGTATCTTGGAAGGCAACTATTCAAATGATTAGAGTGTGACCCTGCGGTTGAAATTTTGAGCTTGAAACTTACTGTAGGCGAAAATAACAATAATGAGAACGATAATGAGTAAGACCTGATCAAGAACACCAATGGCCTGTCCAACGTCTCTCATGCTGTTTGCAATTGATTTTCGGTCGCGGCCAATATCCACTACTTTCATGATCATCTCATCAAGAGAGATATCGCCATTTCCATCATTATCCAAAGCTTCAAAAATTTCCTCAGCTTCCATCTTGCGACCAGCGCCGAGGACCTCTTCGAGATCTTCTGCAGATAAAGAATCCTTGCCTTCCACAACGAAAGACATCCATAAACGTCTCGCCAATGCCTCGGAGGATTTGGTTTTCTCAAGTGCTTCAATAACGACAGAGTGAGCAGAATTGGGGTTGAAAACTTGCTTTCCGGTAATCTCAGATGCAATATTTCCAAAGACTGAGGTCACTTTGTCACCAAAACGGCCAATGTCTCCAATAAGCTTCATTGGCGTATTTGAACCGGATCTGTTATGTCCCAATAGTCTTCTGTTCGTCTTTTGAAGGACGGCTTCGATACTATCACTGATGATGTAGTCTTCTTCTGCAAATTCGGGGCAGTACATGGGAAACAGAGTTCGGGATGCTTCGTAGAGGAGACCAAGTAAGTGGATAAGGTGCTTTGATTCTTTGATACGTCCATCGAAAGAGCGTCGGTGATAATTGACACTGATCAATTGGACGATGAGTTTCTCTACCAAGAGTAAGATTGTAGAAATCAAAGTAGGTACCAGAACACGCTTCATCGTGTTGACCCATGGATCCATGGTGCCATCATAGTCTTTGCCATTTTTGTGTAGCTTATTCAAATCTTTAGTCGTCAAAGCCGTGAAGGTGACCAAGCTGGTAATGGCCCATCCAACCAAGGATAATGGAATTTCTAAAGCTCTCAAGATAGTTGCGTACTTTCGAACGCCAGTGCTGACAACTCCGCACAAAAACATGAAGATGTATGGTATGGCTTTAGAGCATAGCTTCGAAACCCAAATACTAAGCCAGATGATCTCAATCCAAGTGAAGAACAAGTATAATTTCATTTTTCCAATAGTTGCCGTTGGGTACAAGACAGCGAAAACAACGATTGGTGCTGCGAGTATTATACCAATTGGCGCAACGTAGAACATGTAGCGAGTGACCACGGAGAAATGAATGATTGTGTTGTAAAATCTGCCCAAGCCATTGACAGAAACCTCCTCTCCGTTTGTTCCTCTTCTCGAGGGATGGACTTTCCTCCTGCCGGCTATTCCTCTTCTAAACATTCCTTGCTTCTCATCTTCTTTGCCAGAATCGTTTTCCGAGCTTCCTGCCAGTATTCCTTCTCCAGGCTTTCGTGCGCCTGTGGAAGAGGCTCCAGTTCTCACTTGTGTGAGGGGGATGTTTTCGGTCATATCGCCGCCGTCTATGGGCTGAAAGCCACGCCGCGAGAAATCTGTTGGTGATCGAGGGGAACGAAGTGACATTTAATCGAAAAGTTGGGTGTTCGTGTGGAGAAAGCAAGATATAATCGCAGATCTTTCTGGAGATCTGAGATTGAATCAGTGGCGGGGGAGATAAAATTCCTTGTGGAATGTTGCTCGTCTCAAATTTCAAAGTAAATTAGAAATAATAATAATAATAATTGGCCCAAATTGTGCAAGTGGTGAATCTCAAGAGAGAATTTTAGCAAATCTCAATCAATTGATAGTCTGCGAAACGAATGTATGAAATCAACTGATTCAATGGATGGCCGTCCTTCGTATAATAACTCGCGTCGAGCGTGTTCGAGGGGTTTTGATCAACAATGCGAAGAATAATCAATGGGGCAGAGAGTATTCTGCTAGTTCCAACGGAAGAATTGGAACCAACTATTTCAATAATGAAATGAAGGAAACAAAAGCCCAAAAGGTTGAAAGGAAGAAAGAATCACGGTTGAATGGAGTCTATTAAAAGAATTGAAAGAAGTTTTCTTCGGAATAGAAATTCGATTCGTGCGTATCGATTTTTTTCTCTTCTATGCCGTTTCTTGAGGTAACGAGAGATCTAAGAGCAGAAACGGGACATACGAGGTAAAGATTGACAAGAAGAGAGGAGACCGAAAGAGCCCTTGTGGAGAAAGCTGAAGATATGTAAATCTCGTCCCTTGAGCAGAAGAAAAATGGAGCCAAAGTCGAACAGGTCGAAAGGGACGAAAAGAGTCGATAAGTTATTATAAGTTGAGTTTAATTCTCTCTCTCGACCTACCTGGTAGCTAGCTACATACCATCCATACCTACCCAGGTAGATAGCTAGGACCTAGATGCCATCTAATAATATTCTTGATTGATACTGGGGTTCAAGTTCAACATTTTGTCTCAAGGCACGGAACATGATCAAGGGGGTAAGGACCACAAGAGGGGGTCAAGCATGGTCAAGAATGGTCAAGATTCAAGAATGGTCGAGAATGCAAGGTACAGATAGCCATCCATCACGATCCATGGTCATGATAGCCAATAGGCACTTCCAACGGGCCACCACGGCCACCACGGCCATCCAGAAATACGAAACACCAAACACCAAGAAAAAAGGCTTACTCGGTACAACGATTCAACCTCTAAGATCATAGTAATATCATAGTAATATGGTCGTTCGAGAAGGCTAGCGTGCTCATCCATCCTCCTGAAAAATAAATTGACCACGCAAAGAGAGAGACATCTGGGACAAAAAACGAAGAATGTGTAAGGAACTACTCAGGTAGGCAAGCGGGTCAACTTCCTAATGGCCTTACGAGTTTCACGATGGGGGGGTTAAGGGGCTTCCTTGGTAAGATTGTAATTTGTACATTAGTCACTTCGTATACGGGACATGCAATGATGACCATGAACTAGGAGAAGAATTTTGCATGTGTCGTATGTGTACTCTGTAGGTAATTGGTGCATCTTCAAGATTGAGAGAGTAGAAGTGTGAGGGTTCTTAAAGTCTTCGTATGCGGTACTTCATCATCATGCCTCCTCGCCTCCTCGGGTGTTGTGACTCGTCATGATCTTGCTCCATTGTCCACGTATAACAAGTCCGAGTCCAAGTCCAAGTCAAGTCCAACTTCCGCGGTGTGTTCTGCAATGTACGACTTTACGACGTACCGGTATTCTACGATGTACAGTCCGTCTCCATTTTACCCAAATCGAACCTAAGAAAAACAAACTACTGAACAGTGCGGATCTCCCAATGTACAAAGCCGCTTCCCGATCAAATCACGAGTTGGACGCGCCGATGATATAACCGATATCCCTACATCTTGCACAACCCTGTATCTTGCACACTTTTATTTATCAAAACAAAAATGGATTATAAATCGAAATATCATTATAATTACTTCGAAATTATTTCATGAAAACTTTGAAATTACTTTTATATAATAGTAAAGTTTTGAAAGATTTAAGATATCAAATAAAATATTGATTGATTTAAAACAATATCAATTTTAAATACTGATAATTCAAGAAAAGATTATATTAGAACTTGTTTATAAGATTTTGAAATAATTTATTAAATTATTTTATATTAATATTATCGAGATAAAGTTTAAAATTTCAAAAAATATTGAAATTCAAGTTTTATAGAAGTTTTGAAAAAATATATGATTTTTAAAAGATGAAGTAATTGAAAAATTGTTTTAAAATATCGCTATATATTTTAATAAAATTTAATAATTGAAAATAATTATTTGAATTTTATTTATAAATTGAAATATTTATATAATAGAAAGTATATAATATAATGATAATAAAATTATATAATAATAAAGTTTTAATTAGAAATAATATCTAATTTGATTAAAAATTAATAAAGAGAAAAAATAATATAAATAAAATATATTCATTAAAGTATTTGAATTAAATGGTTTAATATAGTTTTTCAAAAAAATTTAATAAATACTTTTCCAATTTTCAAAAGAATTTATTATTAAAAAAAATCTTCAAACTCTATAATATTTCTAATAATTTTGAATATTAAATTCGATTATAAACTGATATTATAAGTTATTTTATTGAATGTTAATATAAATAATGATTATATGTCTAGAAAATTATATCAAAGAATAAAAAATTTAAAAATATCATTTAAATATAATATTATCTTATATTTTATTTATTAGTATTTTCCTTATAAATAATTATATATATAATTATAATATAAAAAAAACTGTTTATACTTTTTAATTAAAGTTATTATATAAATATCAAAACATAATTAAAATCTTCTAAAAATATTATAAAATCATTGATTTATAATTGATTTTTATTATAAAAAAGATTAATTCAAAAAATTCGAATTATATATTAGTATAATTTCGAATTTTTAATAAAAAAAACTACTTTTCTTAATTATATATATTAGAATATATTAGAATTTACATTTTTTAAAGAAATAAATATTCTTTTTCATTTATAATATTAAATAAATCGATATAAAGAATTTTATATAATGATTTTTAAAATTAAGATTTAGATTTATATATTAATATATTTGATATTTTAATTGATTGATAGTAGAGAGTATATATTATTCTATTTATTTTATAAATTTTGAAAGAATTTGATGATTGGTTGATTATAAATTGAATTTAGAATATTGATGTGAAAAGAAATAAAAGTGTGCAAGATACAGGGTTGTGTAAGATGTAGGGATATCGGTTACATTTTTGGAAGGAAAATGTGGGAAGTTTGGTAGATCCGTCGACCATCTCAGCCACTCCTTTGGGAGCATGACGATAGAGGCTCCAAAATTATCGTGATCTTTGGAAATACCTAGGTAATGCTCCATCCAGTGTGTTGGATCGTGGAAACTTGGATGGAACACAACCCCAGAGTCAAGTGTAATAATATCTTGGAGTCCGCATGTACATCAGTGGAAACATTTCTTAAATGCTTAACATACAGAGTACAATGTATCAGACAGAAAAGAAGATGCAAATTGTGCTTCGATCATTTTAGAGATACCTGGTACTTGTCGGCTATTAGAAAAATTCTGCCAACCACCGTAGGTGGTTGGTAGCATTAACTCTGATATACAGCAACTCCGACACGATCGATTTTTTCAAAAATTAATATCAATTCAACTAAACATTATATAATAATAAATTTTATATAAGATTATAGCTCTTGATTGCCTCTTTAATATCTATTAAAATCTATTATTTTCAATATTGTTGTTCAATTGTTCTATTGAGATCGATATTTTGAATAATTCAATTAATCTTGTTAGTTGAGAAAAGGTATATATATACTTACATAATCATTCCAATGTCGCATAAACTTCGAATCTGAGGCTAATATCGTAATATAATCCCAATATTCAATCCTCAAAAATTTCACAATTAGAAACAAAATAATAGAAAGAAAATCTGGTAACTATATTGAGGTAATCAAGAGCTATAATTCTATATAAAATTTATTATTATATAATGTTTAGTTGAATTAATATCATTTATTGAAAAAATCGAATGTGTTGGAGTTGCTGTATATCGGAGTTGGTGCTATTAATCACTGTAGGTGGTTGGCCATGGGGATGATTAGCCGACAAGTACCTACCTAATGTGTATATTGCTACCTACATATACCTATAATTCACTTCATTAATATACTAACCTCCTTCAATCTCAGGTACTCCATGTACTTTGTACTTTTAATATCTACCTAGTATGCATAATATTAATCTCATCAAATCAAGCCCACATGCAATCAATCTACGGTATGGATGCTTCACAATAATAAATCCTTATCTTGAAAATCATCCTTCGAATCCAAGCCACCACTTGCACGACCTCCCGGTCTCAACATTGGATTCTTCGAAAGATTGTCCCTTCTCGACCATTTCGACCACAAACTTCCAACGCTGTCCACTCAACTCACCACCAACTCATCAACCATTACGTTGAGGATGGTGCGTATCACCAACAGCACTATTCGGTGCCTCTTTCCTAGACCTTTATTAGTCACCTACCCTCGCCAGGCTCATCCTCGCTATTGCGTTCGTTCTCGACCACATTGAACACATAAACAGTGACATACGATGAATCCACAACTCGTCTGGTCTTAAAGTCCCAAACAAGCAAAACCCCTGGCATAAAGTTTGTTTGCTGCGTGGATGCCATGCTTTACCGAAATAGAAAAAATTTGTTCAAATGGTTTTTATCTAGTAAAATCTTTCGTGTTCTTAGAAAACTGTGGTCCATGCCTTTTTCTTTTTCGCAATGCCAAGGAATTCCACTCCGCTCCGTCTACAATCTACAATCTACCTACCTAGTAGGTAGATTCTTATCGATAAACTCCTGATCAAAAAGCCGATGATAATTGACAACCCTCTTTAAAAACCCACCAAATCAATACTCAACAGCCAACAACATACACAACCTAGATCCAAATCTAAGAATGAAGCTCACATACGACCCAGCCCGGGCCAAAACCCTCATTTCAGCTTTCCAATCCGTCTCTGAACGTGTCAC